TCGGAAGAAAATTAACAACAAAATATATGACTAAAATCATAAAAATAAAATCTATCAATTTGTAGGAAATTACACGAGCTACAAATTAACCTCTATAGTTGAACAGTCCTGAACTCTTCATTTTTACGAGATTTTTGGGTTTTAGTGGCTCAAAGAAGGTGGTCCTTACACGCAAGTCAAACTAAAACCCGTAATATCTACGAAATAAAGAGATCTACAGAAAAATTGGAAGAGCGCAAAAATATTGCTAAAAAAGACCTTCAATTTTACTCTGTTTTGCATTTTTTACGTATCTTGTTTAGTTTTTGAAATATGTCAAAAAAATTAAAATTTTTTAAAAAATAAGAATTTTCATTATTTTCAACTTTTTTCTAAATTTAGGCATTCTAAACCGCTGAAACTTGCAGAGCCCATTGTTAGTACCTAAATATATATAGTTTTTATTTTTATAATTTTGGTTATAGATTTTATTGTTGATTTTTTTCAGAAAAAATGAAGTGACCATTTTATTTTTATCATAACTCCGCGAGTTTTTGAGTTAAGAACTTGTTTAAAAAAGCATTTAAAAGGTCTTTTCAAGCGGTCATATTCATTTTCTTCGAAAAAATATGTTCTTTCGCCATTATTTTACGGTAAAATGTTGCAATTTAGTTTTCGAAAAATAAAAAATCACCTTTACAGAGTGATAACTCGGCTACTATTACACCTACAGTAATCAAACGAATCATTTAGTTATTCCAAAAACTTCATTTTTGCTTTATATGAGTTTTACGATAAACCGCCAGGTTTTCGAGTTATTTATAAAAATGGCAGAAAAATATGCAGTTTTTAAAATGAAAAATCAACATATTTTCTGAAAAAAATGTTATAGAACATTTTTTGCTTAGAATTCATCCCCCATTCTTATTGATTTTTGTAATTAAAATTGGTGATTTCTTTTTCACCCCCGAGAAGGGGTGACACTCACCCCCAGGATGAAAGCACACATCGATACTATGTAACTTTTGTTTCTTACGTATATCACTATTCACTGTTAAAATTTCACGTCAATCGGTGCAGGTGTACAGAATTCAGACCCTAAAACCCTCGCTTACTGACCTAACATTAAAAAATGACATCGAAAAGTAATGATAATTGAAAACATTGCAAATTGATCGTGATCAGTTCATTTTGCTTTTAAAAATTAATCAAAGCATGTATTGACATGAATCAAGAAACAAAATGCTTAAGAATCATGGTTCTGACAGTAAAATTATATTTTAGGAAAATTTACGAACGAAATTATTGCACAGGGTGTTTTAAAGTTAGGGTAAAAAAACAACCCCTCGATTATGCCTGTATAATATGCCAAATACTAAAGTTTATAAAAACTTAGTTTAAAAATTAAAGTTGATATAATTATATACAGTCAAAAAAAAAATCATGAAAATAGGGCTAAAAATAAAAAAAAATGCGTTTTTTTTGCATCTGAGTGTAGAATTAATATTTTGTTAATATTTTATTTTTCTAGGATTTGAATTTACTGAAATCACTTTTAACTCAGTCTTGTACATACTTCTTTATTCACACTTAACGTTTCTAGTTCTTTGCTTACACGCATTCAGCATCTATGTCATTTTAGCGGAACATGACCAATCTCCAACAACATAGCTTATTCCTACTGGGAATAAGCAGTTTTACGACTCTTCTCTTGTATGGTTTGTCAGTAAATTCCTCAACATGATTGTTTTTTCTGGTACTACTGTCTGGTAGGTACCGTCTAGTGACATACTTAGTTTATGGCGCGGACATATAACTAAAATTAACGTTGTTCTGAAAAAATCTCAGGCTGCCTGTCAACTGGTATTTTGTAAAATGTAGCATTGCGAAAAATAGCATGTGAGATTTTTTCTTAATGAACAGTGTATATTATCCTCGAAATTATCTATTAAAAAGGTTAAATTAATAAACATAGTTATTCTTAATTTTTGTGAAAAAAAAGGTTCCTACTAAGGTCGCCTGGTGGCTGAAGTTGCATGTGAGCAATAGATTAAAATCGGTTGGTTTTAACAAAGCAAGAAGAGATTCTGCTGGTATGTAGGTACCGGGTGGCCAATTAAGAATGGATGCCGGCTGTATCTCAGAAACTACTTATCATATAACTTTAAGAAAAAAATTCAAATAAGTAAATTGACCAAGAGAAATCGCTGGAAATTATTTTCAAGTTTGAAAAATGTCCGGTAGGGGCGTTTCTTTGATATCCAATCAGAAAACAGTTTTTTTCTCAAAAATATGCAGGTGAACAGGTATTTTAAATATTACTATAGTAATCATCGAGAAATTTGTAATTTTTTTGATATAGAGTGTTTTGCTCTATATCATAAAATAAAGTGGTGGGGGAAGGTTAAATTTGCTTTTATTAAAATAATTATAACTCTGGTTTGGGTTAACCCATTTAAACAAACTAGGGCTCGTTGAAAAGAGCTTTTCTTCCTTAATGATCTTCAGTATACATTTTGTTTCCATATTTATTTTCGTGGTAGCTAGAGGGCGCTGTTTGACATCATAATAGATATTACGCTTTTGTACAAAAAATAAATAAATAGGAGGCTATATTTTTCTTTGTACTGTTAAATAGAGCACAAAATTTCCAAAATATTAGCGAAAACTGCAACTTTCTATCTTCTCTCTAACGAGAGATATTAAGAAAATAAATCATATTAGGCTGTCGCCTAGTATTATAAGGTCTACAGATTATAGTAGTAGGCTAGGAAACAAAAAGAGGTAAATTGGTTCCGTCAAAATATCAAAACATATATTTTAATTTCATTTTAATACCATTTAATTGATATTTGTCCATGTTCGTTCTTGATTCGACCCCATAAATTAAAACCCAGGCATATTGAATCCGATGACCTAGCTGGCCATGGAAATATGCCGCTCCAGCGTGTCTATCGACTAAAATAAGTAGTATCTAAGAAGCCTCACACATTCATAGCAAAATAATCGACACAACTGCATCAACTACACCAACTACATTCATGCTGATGAAATTGCAACAGATGGATCCCCTAACAAAGTTCTAGATCCCCTAACATTTCATTCAGATAATTAAAAAAGTCCAATCATTCGCCACCCTGGAATTCCTGCCTAAACATTTACCGACCAACGGTCTTGGTGCTGAACTACTTGCATCAATTGTAGATTTGGACCAATAATAGTGCATATTAAGATTCGCACCTGTGCTATATGAAAAGTGACCCAAACGACATAAAGTTTATAATATAATAATAAATAACACAAACAACAGATAAAACACGAAAACAAGTGAAATAAAGGACGAATTGCATTAATAACTAAATGACGATACATGAAAGGAAGAAAAGTTCTTTTAAACGAGCCCTAGTTTGTTTAAATCGGCTAACCCAAACCAGAGTTATACTTATTTTAATAAAAGCAAGTGTAACCTTCCCTCATCACTATATTTTATGAGATAGAACAAAATACTCTATATCAAAAAAAATACAACTTTCTCGATGATTACAATAGTAATATTTAAAATACCTGTTCACCTGCATATTTTTGAGAAAATCTCTGTTTTCTGATGGGTTTTATCAGAGAAACGCCGCCTAGCGGATATTTTTCGAACTTGAAAATTATTTCCAGCTATTTCTCTTGGTCGATTTACTTATTAGAATTTTGTTTTCCCAAAGTTATACGATAAGTAGTTTCTGAGATACAGCCGGCGTCCATTCTTAGTTGGCCACCCGGTATTTAAGTTTTCAGTTGTTATTTGCTAAAGCAAAGTTTGCTAAAGTCTGCTAGACAATACCAACTAGCAAGAGTAAGTAAAATACAAAATAATTATATAAGAATACAACAAATAATAAAAGTATTAATGAGAGCAATATCGAAAGTGACTAATAAGTGGCGATTACGATTGCCACATAATGAAAAAAATAACTTGAGAGTTGATGACGCAATGAAACTATTCAAATTAGTTTCTGATTCCTGTTATATCGTTCAAAAAATGTCCAAGAAACATGTAAACCAATGTTTGCTATCAAGAACCACACTAATCAATTATTTTGTGTATCCTTTTTTGTGTTTTGAAATGCCCTTTTCCCAATTTCTTACCCCAGAGATGTATGTTTGGTAAAATCTTAAATTACAGGGTGTCCCAATATTCCGCGGACATAGAACTACAACGTATTTTTGGAATCAAAATAAGTTCATGGGACACAATTTATCTCTATACAAAAGTGCTTCGTTTGTCCGCTTGAGGGTACCAAATTTAAAAAAATAAACGCATGTTTTCACATATTTTAAAAGCCGTTATTTCGGCTTGAATGAGATTCCTGGTGTCTATGTCTATGTTTTGCTAAGTGCTTTAACATGTGGCTAAAAAAATAAGAAAAAGTACGGAAAGGGTGAGAACTACCCTAACCCGTACATAAATGTTTAGTACCTTCTCCATAGCTTGTTGTGACAAAAAAAAACATTTTTTGGAACTCTGAAATTGTTTTCCTCAAAAAGCATTCACGGTGGCCTTGTTTTACAAGAGACAATGTAGTAAATGCTAGACGGACCATTTTACGAAAAGAAAATCGGCTGTCCGTGGAGTTGGAAAATATTTACACTAAAATTTATGTAGGGATGGGGGTAGTTTTCACCCTCCCCGTACTTTTTCTTGATTTTTGTGACACCAAAAATCTCATTCAAATCGGAATAACGGTTCTTAAAATATTTGAAAAAATGTGTTTATTTTTTAAAGTTTGATGCCCTCTAGCGGACAAACGACGCACTTTTGTATAGAGGTAAATTGTGCCCAAGGAACTTACTTTGATGTCAAAAATACGTATATAGTAGTTCTATGTCCACGGAATATTGGGACACCTTGTATAATGGAACACATAATAATTATTGTAGATTATATTATTTAAATAAATTTTTTTCGAAAGAAAACACCTAAAATTACTTTTTTGTAATATGGTTGTTCTTAGAGATCTTGTTCTACATACCCCGAATCGTACTCCTCAATAACACACTCGAAAATCATATTTGCCACCATAATAATTGCAAAAATAACAGTACAGTAGCACCACAACTCGAATCACTTTCAATATTGGCGAGCAAAAAGTCCAAAAAAACACTCCATCGGAATTCGAACTATCACCGAAGCCGGACAGCGATTTGTCGTCGAGCGCGGTACCCGTTACCGCTGCAGACAGACACAACAACAATTCTACCGCAAGTACCGTGCGGTAGTTCGCTACGCTCGCTAATAGTACCACCGGCGTTGCCAGATAAAGTGTAGGTATCGAAAGGTGTAATTACCTGGCCGGAAAACTGGTTAAAAATTGCGAGATCTAGAACAACCGCCATTTTTGAACGTTTAATGGACCCAAAATTTGACACGCTATCGATACATAGAGATTTAACGCAGTAGTGTTTAGAAAAAAACAACTTTTTTTTTTGCAGATTTGCTTTTAGTGAAGGATACAGCTTATCACCTCTAATCTTCAATGCTTACGTTGAAGTAGCCCTTAGGGAATGGAAGAGGAGATGTCAAGGTATGGGAATACCCATTGGGGAAGATACACTGTTTACTCTGAGCTTTGCAGACGATCAGGTCGTGATTGCGCAGGACTCTTACGATCTGGAGTTCATGACTAAGAGGCTTTACCAAGAATATAACAAATGGGGACTTCAGGTTAGTTTAAAAAAGACAGAATACTTAGCTGTCAATTCCAACGCTTGTTTCATAGATGATAACGTCCAGATTCAACAAGTAGACAAATTTAAATACCTGGGTGCTACTATCAACAACAAGGGTTTGGGCAAAGAAAAACTGTTGGATATCTTAATAGCCTCTGGTGGGACCGAAACTTGTCTGCAACAACTAAAAAGAGACTTGGACGAACATTGGTGGAGTCAGTTCTTTGCTATAGTTCAGAGCTATGGACTCTGAGTGCAGATACGAAGCACAAAATCCAAGTTGTTGAAATGGACTATCTTAGAAGAAGCACAGGTATATCTAGGATGGAAAAAAAGACAAACATCGAGGTCAGGCGTATCATGAATGCATCGGAAGAAACAGTGCTAGATCGAATCGAAAAATCGAGCTTAAAGTGGTTTGGACATGTTTTGCGTATACCGGAGAACAGGTGGCCAAAAAAAGTTTTTCAATGGTCTCCCGAGGGTAGAAGAAAGAGGGGCAGGCCTAGAAAATCCTGGAACGGAACGGTTAAGGAAGTAATGGAAGCTCGTAACCTAAAAGCTGATGACGCACTAAATCGAGACTGAAGGCAGCAATAGGCTGTAGTTGGAAAAAAGTATCAAATACTTACACCAAATCCCGTTTATATATATATATATATATATATATATATATATATATATAGAGTATATATATATATATATATATATATATATATATATATATATATATATATATATATATTTTCTTTTAGTGACGAAAAACTAACAATTATTTTAAAAATATAATGAAAAAACACACATATTTGAAGTGAAACTTCTTCTTACTTCCATCTGTCCGTCTGAGGACTCCATTCGGGTACCGCTATCCACCTGCTTAGTTTGGTTCCAATCGACCCAAGCCCTCAACCGCAAATAGTCTTCTAAATAGTCTAAATTCTATCATCCGGCCAGATAGCCCTGGCAGCTGTGGCCATTAAACCAAAATACTACTACTGCTATGTAGTATGTGGTTTGTTTTTGTTATTTTGTTCATTATTCATTATTTATATTGATTCACAGTAATAAATCTTAATTATGTGAATATTCTCGTTGATTATTGGTTTGAAATAAATAAGACAGTGTCCTCCAAATGAAAATGCGAGTTACTAAATTTATTAATTCTAATTCTAAGCTAGCAAATGAACTAGATGCTTTACCTAGACCATTATTCAGAAGCTACAAACCTGTTGATGAATATATCCATGAAAATTTACTTCCTAGTACACAACCATATAATATTGGTACCCAGGTACAGTATCAAGCTTGTTATAATGCTATTCTTAGCTATAAATGAAATGTTTTTTGGTGTTTGCGCGATCCTTTCCACTTTTTTCTCGCTCGCTCGTGCGTCAAGGCATGGTCAAGGTCATGTGTCAAGGCCAATTACCACTAGCTTGTGTGTCACGGCCTTGAATTTTTACTTCCATCGCGCATAAAAAATTTCACTTCAAAAATATATATTTCATTTCACTTCTATGGGCCTTTTTTTATAATCTATTGATATTAGGCATCAGCAACACATATCATTAAAAATTCTCTGATTTTGAGTACATATTGGTTGATTTTGTCAAATATTTGTTTTATTATTTGGTTAGCTAAAAATCAGCTTTTTTCAGGTAGAAGATTTTTTCTCCGCAAGAATATACTGCTTGGTTTTAAGCCTTCAGGCTTTGACAAAGATAGCTGAAATTTGAGCATTTTGTTAGCCTTTATTAGCTCTCTTTCGATTACTATAAGCTTTGGATCTAAACACCCATAAAGGAAATCATGTTAGCAATGAAAACGAGAAGACTTTGAGGGGATAATTATATTTTTGACGAATCTTAGAAGCAATTTTTACTAGTGCAACTGGAGTGCTAACGAGACGTTGCCAATTCACTGGAGATTTTCACCAAAATGAATCCAGATAACACTCTGCATGAAAGTGAGTCTATTTTCTGTTCCATTTGGGTCCAAAAAGTCTAGATTTTGTACTATGGCTATATATATACAAGAGACATGTATGAGCCGCAATGCCAACTTCAGTTTAGGGATCCAGCATCTCGTAAACCAGAAGAGATGACCCTAAAAGTTATCAGCAAAATGAAACACTAATTCACCACAATACACCAAAACATTTTGCTTTTGCACTGGACGCGCGTTTTGCTAACCATGCAGCAGATGATTAAAACTAAACTAATATCTACCAATTGAGTTTTATATACGCACTGAGTTGGCATCGAGTAAGCAAGACAGCCAAGTAAGTCAAAACCAACCGAGCGTAACGTACCGAAACTAGAGTAATAGAAAGGAATTTGACCAATTTCTGTTCATACTATATTTACATTTATTAATTTTGACGCCCTTATATGCATCTAATTGCCTGTAATTTAAGACGTGTTTAAATAACTTTTAATTATAAATATCTATACAATGTTCTTTATCAACGATATGTTCAGCAACGCAAGATTTATCCAGTCTACCATATCTTACTGAGCCATATGTTCCTTAAATCTAGTTAATATTGATCTTCTAGTTAGCTCAACATAGTTCTGATTACAATTTTTATACGAAATTTCATGAATACCCGACATTTCTAGTGGAGGTGTTTTATCTTTAGGATTACCTAATAATTGTAGTAATTTATTATTAACACTATACACAGTTGATATAATTGACATTCTTAAAAATTCTTTTTAAACCACGGAATAACTCTCTATCAAACGTTATTGAAAAATATTTTGACGTATCTTTCTCCACTTGAAAAGTCGAATTTGCAAAAATCGCAAACTTATACCTACGATTTTCTGATTATTTTATCAACTAATAAAGGAGAAAATCCAGTACACTCAGCTACATTCCTAATGTAATTTCTTTCTATTTCATATCTTTCGTTGGTAAGTGGAAAACTAAGTAATCTATGAACTAAGAAATCTAAACTAGCCATCTTCAAAACTATGATATAGGAAATGACCAAGTAAGGAACTGGACCCTGCAAGATCACACCAATCCTAAAGATGACTTGGTCTTGCTATATTCGCTTATAGTAATTATAGCTGCCTCTTTATTATTGTCCTGGATAAAATTTAAACAGGTATTTATGTCAGCATGATTGTATTATTTAATCGAGTAATGAACAGCAAACAAGTCATAAGTACACCTTGAAAACTATTCTCAGTTCAACTAAATCTCTTGTGGATGATCATTCCATTTCAGGAAAAAGTTAACCACCTAAATTCTTGTAAACAAAAAAAAATGTGACATCGAATTTGACAATGACAAAATCATATTTTTGCTGGTATTTTAATTGTAGCTTGCTTTGGGCCTTATTATAAACTTTTAGTAATTTGAAGATACATTTTTGCAAATATCTTTTAGATGCTTATTCCAAATAAAACGAAATTCTAGACGAGAGCAACAGGGTCTATTTTTCATCTGATCGGGCCCTAAGGCTCAAGCAAAAATTCGGGCCCTCTTTTCCAATAAAAAATCAAAAATCGCCAATCAAAAACTCAAGAAATTATGAATATTTTACAACCTTTAACGGGCCGCTCAGACCACCGGGCCCAAGGCCCGGGCCTTATGGTAAAGTAGACCCTGGAGAGTATAACTTTGACGCCTCTTCAAAAAAGTCTAATACAATTTTTGCATAAAATCATCTGGAGAGATAATATTTGACCTTTTCATAATTTACATGGGGTTTCCTGTCCCGTGTTCCGACCCACCACACGGTATCGCCTGGCTAATTTTTGATATTTTTACATTACATTAGATTGGAGACAAAATACTTTAATCTAGCTGCTAATTACCAGCTACGGCAACGTCGAGTACCCCGGTACCACCATCAAGCGTACTCCCTTTTCGCCCGTAACGAAAATAATAAACATAATAAAGTAAGAGGTACCGCGATCCGAGTTGGCGAGAGAGACGGTCAATCTCGCGAACGGCCTTGCAGTACTAGCTGCAAGGTCGTACCAAGAAAGGCTAGTGCACTTGGTTTACCGTAGATCTCTTCGTGGACTCGACTCTAGTTTAGATGGTTTAGAATAAATGGAATGCGCATTGTATTCAGTTTGAAGGAGACGTGAACCGATTTTGAATGTTCTACGAGAGTCAATTTATTTTTTTTTGTTGTAAGGAAAGCCAATTTACTATCAAGTACGATATGTTTCAGCTTTTACTTGTATTATGTACAGGGTGGACCATTTTGGTTGTTTCTATAGGGTATCTAGGAAACCGTGAGAAATATTCAAACTTTGATACTGCAGCCTCGGGTTATTTTATTGAAAAAATCACAATGCCCCAAACAGATCGTGGCTATCTTGATCGGTTTCGAAGCTACAGGGGGATTCTTAAATTTTGTACTTTTTGAAGATGTTCGATAGTTTGTTTATTTCAACAACTACGCAAAAACGAATTAAACATTCTAAAGGCACTTTTCTGTGTAGAATGCAGTGGCATAGTCAGACTTTTTTCGAAACAAATATTTTTTT